TCACTTTACTTTACCATCCAAAAATAAGCAAAATTCAAGAGTGTTACTTCGTCAAAAATGATCGTATCGAGATGATCAAAAAAGCATTTTACAGCTTGAAATCTCTACTTTCCAAATTGAAGCAAAAAGGACCACTTTTGCTTTAATGTTGAATAACTCGGTAAAAAAAAATCGTACAACGCTCAACAAAAAGATAATTAAAGGTAAAGATTCACTCTTTCGAAAGCTGTAAATTGCATTTGCATGCGATTTTTAATTCGCGCTATGGAACTTTGTCAAAGTTCGTAAAAAATTTTGAGATTCGTCGGATCTCCTTTTCTATCCGTGTAATTCCATGAAAAAATCAGTAGGATCGTTTTCTAAAGTACCGATTTGAAAAGTAGAGATTTCAAGCTGTAAAATGCTTTTTTGAACATCTCGATACGATCATTTTTGACGATGTTACACTCTTTTGAATTTTGCCTATTTTTGGAGGGTAGAGTAAGTGATGCTTCAATTTTGTTGAGAAGTGTATACATATATACTAAACTTTAATCTGTATCACTGTGTTTGACACTTCTGAAAATTATCTACGTAATGCAATGGACATGTGTTTTCCTTTATTAAAGGAAAAATTTGTATCATTTTAATTTTATATGTAATTAATTATTTTCAGTGGAATTTACAGTGAGAGAAAAGAAGACAATGATGTGCGTTGACAAGGATAAAACTCGGTAGAACTTCGTCCCAGAATCCCCACACGGAAAGAACAATTTTGCTGAATCTAGATCTGAAAATAATTTTCGTTCAATAATCAAAATAATTTTGTGCGAAAGTCAAAATGATTGCTAGAATATCAAAACGTTTTATAGCAATGCTTGTCAGTTTTAACATTTCAATAAATTATTTTGATAATTCAATAAAAAATTATTTTCAGATCTGTTTTTAGCAAAATTTTTAGACCTTTCAACAAAATCGTTCTTTCCGTGCAAGAGCCTATAAATAGACAAACTTTAGTTTTACGCACTACTTATACGAGAAAAATTCACTACAACGAGATGCGAATTTCTGTCCTGCTAACCTACATTTTACGAACTGTATATTTGTACAAACATTTTCGATGGAGAGCCATTTACATTATTTCTAACGAACACGGCCATTAGAAACTTCCAAGGGAATTCATTACTCTTACGAGTCTCCCTCTTTCTCTCTCTCTTTCTCTCTCGTCCCGACGACAAATCTCGTTTCCGGAAATGCGCGCGGACGTACATCGATCCCACTCGCGGCGAGTCAAAGCGCGAGTGCCGAAACGTCGGAATTGACTTACGTTAAAATTAGGTGGATCACTTCCCCGAGGACGTCCCGCTGGGTCCTGCGGAGCGGTGTCTCTGCCAGTTCGCAGATGGTCCTCAAAAGGCACTGCCTGCCGTCCTGCCAACCGTGTCTGAAGAATCAACATTGAATCTTACTTTGTAGCGCGGTCATTTGCGGCCGCTCACTTCGTCTCCTTCTTTTTCATTACGCGAGATTTACTCTAAACGTATAATTTCATTAAAGTAACACATGCTAGTGAAATCTTTGCAATCAGCAAAAGACTAAAAAAACACGGCTTTTTTTAAACGATTGCCCTCCAAATTCGCACTTCGTGTGAAACTGATTTGTTATCGCGATACGTGTCTTCAGTAAAAAGAAGAAATTGCGTATTTGACCTTGCAAAAAAATGCAATGGATAAATGAACGTCGTGACAATAAAATGGCAAATACTATGTCTCAAAGTTAATTTCTTAATTTATTAGTGCCAACATATCAAGTGTATAACAAAAAAAGTGCTTATATTTAATCTTCAAGGAAATGCGCAACGTAATCGTAAAAAATTAATAATTTGCTTTTCATGACATGCCTCTTGTCATCAGAGCGAAGAAACTTAAATTGTGTGTAAATATATTGATTTGTGAAAAATTACTTTCCATACGTCTGCGAAATAGTTCGAGATCTCAATGCGCATTCATCAAGCGAATACTTTTGTTACTATTACTAAGGCACTATAGATGTAGGTATTCCTATCCGCCATCTTGGTTCCAGCTAAGTGGGTAATGTAACCCCAAGTTTGCTCAACAATAAAGTTAGAAATTAATAATTATTACAT